TACTATGCTTTGAATAAAGGTTACTGCTTTGCTACACCTCTTGTCGCGTCCTCTCCCTTCGCTCCAAGATGCAAAAAATACCATCAGGTGTGGAGACTTAATCTACATGATAGGGACATGAGAAGTGGCAAAGCATCCCAGTCAGTCTTGATGGCACCATTTGGGCATCTTCAACCCTGGTCTCATTTGATGGTGGGGCAACCTTTTTCAGAAGCAGAGGAACCCTTCTTGCATTTTGCCCCCTCCATACTTATTCTAGCCTAAGAGGTCCTAAGGTAAAGGTAAAGGTTCCCCTTGCACATATGTGCTAGTCGTTCCCAACTCTAGGGGATGGTACTCATCTCCGTTTCAAAACCGAAAAGCCAGCGCTGTCCAAAAATGTCTCCGTGATCATGTGGCTGGCATGACTAAATGCTGAAGGTGTACAGAACACTGTTACCTTCCCACCAAAGGTGGTCTTTATTTTCCTACTTGCATTTTTACATGCTTTCAAACTGTTAGGTTGGCAGAAGCTGTGACAAGTAACGGGAGCTCACTCCATTACATGGCGCTAGGGATTCAAACCGCCAAACTGCTGACCTTTCTGATTGACGAGCTCAGCATCCCTGAGAGGTCCTAGTTGCCTTAATTATTTTATTTATTTATTCACATTTTTCACAGCCATCCAACTCCAAGGGATTCAGGGCTTCCAAAGCCAATCATGACGGCTGGCACCGACATAAAGAGCAGCCTGTTCTCAGAGGTCTTTCTTTTTGCCTTTTCCTGATGCTCACTCTGAGAGGCTGCTTTATCCTTCCAAAGGAGAGCGGATGGTCCGGCCTCGCAGAATCAGGCCAGCTGCTCAGCAAGGACACCTCTGCAGTCAGCAGCGGGTCAGAAGAAAGGAGGAGGAAGCATTACTCCCTGGGTAATGGATAACTCCACCACTGGGCTCCTCGATGTATCTTTCAGTATGTGTGTGTGTGTGTTGGTGTCCGAATAAGGCTGCTACTTCCGTGCTAAACCTACGCAGAGTCATCTTCTACATATTAATTTGGAAGGAAGCGCTTGTGAATTCAATGAGATTTATTCCCCAGGAGAGCACATTTCACTGGGTTCATTCAACTAAGCATCGCTGGGGGAGCGGGACTGATTATATTTCTCTTGAAGACAAGGTCACCCAAGAACTGATTCTGAACGAGGAGCATTTGAGGGCGGTAGAGCAGCCTCCTTCAAGAGTACCGAGCAAAGCTGAAGGAGAGGGAGAGGCAGAGGAGGAGGGAGACAAATTGGAGTAAAACCGGTCCGGGGTGCGGTGAAAGGTGCATTGTCAAGCCATACTATTCAACTATCTGAACTATCACTATTTCTACAAACAAGCCATTGCTAAGCCCCAGGGATGATTTCAAAAGTTGCCGGGTAGAGAATGGGGTGAGCTTCCCCCTCCCCCCCCCGCCGCCAAATAAATCTCCTTCCGCCCCCCAAAAGGCGACGGGACGCTAAGAGAGACAACCCAACCATACACACACACACAACACACACACCAGGCAGAGCCGTCGCTTCATCAGAGCCAGCCTATGTTAAGGCTGAGGCTGAGGCAACCCCAGCCCCGGGGGTTTCGAAAAGAGAGGTTGGGTTCGACGGAAGCTGACCGCGTGCGAATCTGTCGGAAAGCCCGCCGAGCCAGCTCGGGGGATGAGTTTATGGTTCGTGACATTGTGCGAACCCAGCACTTTCAGCTGAGCAAGGGAACTGGGCAATAGGGCTCGGCAGAAAGGGCGAGCGTCCTGACCCTTACAAGGGCAGGCAGACAGGCAGGCGGGCGGGCGCTTCCATTTTTTTTATTTTTTACGGAAGGGCAGCCGGTCACTGGGGAATCCCAAGCGGCCGGCTTGACTGCCTTACCAGATTTCTGCGGTGCGGCTCCGGCTCCTTTAGCCCCCTTGTGCCGAGGGCTGGACGTCCGCGCCCTCATCTGCGCCACCATGGCGAGCTGCATCTCCCACTGGCAATCCGTCCTGTACCTCTCGATCGCCTCTTCCATTTTCAGGTGAAAATGCGAGCCTTTCGCAGCCATCTTTGCGTGGGTGGGTGTCTCATGTACAACAGGGAAGTCCCGGGCAGGCAGGCAAGCAAGCAGCAGCGCGCCTCGGGAAGCGCCGGGTTCCCCACCCCTCCCTTCCCTTCCCCTCCCCTAGCTAGCATAAGCAAGCTTTCAATTTCTTTTGGACACGCTGGGAAGAGAAGCCCGAGTTTCTTCAACCTCTTGGTGCAAAAAACCCTTTGAGATCAGTTACGAGGGGACCATTCACTAGTTGGACCCGGCATTCCGACGGAAAATAATTGGCAACCTTTGGAAAACGCGCTGGACTGAAGCAAAAAAAGTGGAGCTGCAGTAGAAGTGACTTCAACGACCTATGTCAGAAGCACGCCGCCTGTTTACTGCTAGTCCCTGATCGGCAGGCCTGTACTACAAGTCCGGATCAGTAATTAAAGGAAGTCTTATTTTTCCTCTATTTACTTTTCAGATGAGTACTAGGCACTTTGAGTACTAGGCATGGTCTGGAAGTTAAGGGTTAGAGGGGGGGGGGAGTACGGTTGCCAGGGAAGGATAGCAGAAGGGCTTCCTTTGCTATTTCCTCTGTGTCCTTGGATCTTGGGTCGTCCCAAAAAGATTTTCTACACCTCCAACTTCCTTTTTTCTTCTTCCTTTGACTGTGCTTGATCTGTCGGAGATCAACCTTGGGGACTTTGTCCTAAGACTCTGAGGTTCAAAATGACACAGTAATGTTTTTTTAAAAAATGTTTTTAATTCCACTATTATTTTTTATGAATAATTCATGGCAGCAAACATACTTAATTCATTTTCCCCCTCTCATTTTCCCCACAACAACAACCCTGTAAGGTGGGTTGGACTGAGAGAATGATCAGCCAGGCTGACTTTCATGCCTAAAGTGGAAGTAGAACTCACATTTTCTTGGTTTCCAGCCTGG